TATATCTTAGAGTGATTAAGTGTTTTCATTTTTAAAAATTCTTTTAATTGTAAGCTTAAAATATATGCACTTCACTGTAAATCATACTCCAATAAAAATATGTAAATAATAAAATACAAATATATGCAGAAAAGTGGTTCATCTCTACAATCAAATACATAAGGGCCTAAGTAGCATGTTGAAGAAACAAAAGGTTCTTTCGACATTAATCCTCACCACAAAGACCAGGCCTCACTTCTCAAACCTGCTTGGAAATCCTCTAGCTGATGCAGAAATGTCTTCTTGATTAAAGACTAACTGAAGTTGTCCAAGGCTTCACTGTCATACAATTGGAACAAAACTACAATAAGTATTCAAAAACATACTTGTTTTAGTACTGTATGTTTGCTGTACGTCTCTAATATACAAGAATTCTTCCTTCCCAAGGATCACATCTCCTCCTGTTCTCTTAATGGAATCACTTCTCACCACCTCTAGGACTGTTATCTTTCCTTTTGCTCACATTTTCAGTCTCTTTCTCTCTACTGGGTCCATCCAACCTAAACAATAAGCATATTCACATCTTCCATGTTGTAAATAAAAAACAAACAAATAAATGAACAACAGCCTTCAGCCATCCTTCCATGGTATTGCCTCCTCCGGCTATTGCACCTCCCAGCTAACTCTTGAAAAGCATCATGGAAACATTTCTCTCTACTTCTCCATGAGTCCATTCATCTCCAACCTCTCACCATCCAGTTCCAGCCTCAGTACTCTACTGAAATTTCTCTTTTATTGGGCATAAAAAGTATTTGTGTAAAACCTTAATCTTCTCCAACCTATCACTGCATCTGAAACCATTAACTACTTGTCGTTCTTTAAATCAGTCTATTTACTTCCACGACAATGTGACCTGCTGGAGCCTCTCTCTGACCACAGCTACTTCTGTCTGGGTGGTCACATGATTAAGACTCATCAAGAAAGTTTCTCTCTTGGGAACTTGAAAGAGAACATGAAGTCTTTCATCAGGCCTTTGTAGGCATTTCAACAAGAAAGTGACAAAGTTTTTACTTAAGTAGTCAAGTATAAACCTTGTAAAAGTTGAACAGTGAAAACGTTTTCAGGGGGGAAAAATAATGCAGACAAGAGGAACAAGAGTGGAAATAAGAGACCAGAGGGCCACAGAGTGAGGGCTGCCATTTTTTCTGATTGATTTCTAAGACTGGGGCTACTGGGAGTTTTATCTGAAGGGTATTAAGATACTGATTTAAGTAGATTTCCTTCTTTACAAAGAAGCCCTAAGAAAGTCCTTTACTGGCCCCTCTCCTCTTTTCGGACTTTTCTTCCCTGTTCTTCTAACTACCAAATCAATATGTCTGCATCTATCTTCTATTCTTTGCATTAATTCCTATTTGTTTGTTGACCAGTTGGGTCTATATAACCACTAACATCTCAAATTCAATATTTTCAAATTTATCTTCATTCATTAATTATAATGTCCCCTCAGTTTCTCATAGAATATTTATATACAAAAGCAATATTCTCCTAATTATACAGACTGGACATCCAGGTTCACCCTTCATTCTTCCATTTTTTTGGTCACACGTCTCTAACCAGTTTATAACTTTACAATTTCTCTCATTCCCATACCTCCTACCTCCTTTCCATTCCCAGAGCTACCACCTTAGTTCAGGCCCTCATCAGTGTTCCCTTGAGCTTATCATCTGTTTTTTTTTATTTTAAAAATACTAAAAATATTAAACATTTTTATGTAGGTTCTGTAATATTTCAGACACTGTACTATACATATTAAAAAACAAATTCAATTAATCCTCACCACACATATTTACACTTCACTATTGACATGGCTGCCAAGCTGTTCTCCCTTCACTAATTGTTCAAAACTCTAAATGCATCCTTCCTTTGTAGTAAAAGTAAGAATTTTAAGTTTTAATGAATGTTGCACTGGGAGAAAACAGACTAGAACATAGATGTTTACAGAATTAGACTCCTCCCCTCTTTTCCCCTTTAGAGTATTTGATCTAGTGTGATTCTCTTCACACAATGGAACTTCATTTGATTCTAATTCTTGCATAAAAGCCCATTACTTACTCTTCAAGGCACTCAAGTGAAATGGGTGTGGCATTTATAATTAAAATTTAAATTAGCATCACACTAAAGAGAGCTGCAATTTCATTTTCCTATATCTTAAGGTACTCTTTAAGTAAATCCATAAAGAAATTATTTCAAAATACCTAATAGCAAGACATCTTTTAAATTTTTCTGCAAAGATAGAGTACATTCCATATAATTATAGGTAATATAAGCCACCAATAAGGAATTTAAATATCCAGTTCAGTTCTTTAAAAATTTGCTATTCTTATTGTAGAATACCAAATTATACATGTAAAGTCTCTTCTGTTTAAAACTAAAACATGCTTAGTATCGACAAGCTCTGAGAATAAATAATCACAAAAGATAAAGTTAATAACTTGATCTATAGCAAGTCCAAGTATTGGTATAATTGAAATCATAGGAAGAAATTAAGAAGGTAATATGAAATTTTTTATACCTATAATAACCACAGGGGTAAAAATATACAATGTCTATCCATCAAAAGTTCCTTCTCACAAAAGAAGTTAAACTATCTCTTCAATAAAACTACATTAAGAATAGGACTCCAATTATACCTGTGTTTGTCCCCTGACATAGTCTAGACCATTATTGAGGCCTTGACTACAGCTATAAAGCGAAGACCCAGAAGAATGTTGTGGGAAATTAGAAAGACTATCTTTGACACCACAGATCATGGGACCACAATCTGCTATTTTCTAAAACACTGCAGATTTTAAAAACACAACAACAACAACAATTAGAATATCCTCTGAGTGAACTTTGGTGCCTTTGGAGGAAGAAGGACATGAAAGGGGTATCCCAGAGTGCATACACTTTCTGAATATCCCCAATACTCAAGTCAATGTAATGCCAACCACAATATTTGCATTCCACTCTCCCATCCTCATCTTCTCTCAGAATGAATGGAAAGACATGATGTGGCACAGCCATAATGTGCCATACAGATACCCCCTTCAGGACTAAGTCACTCATCCCTTCAACTTTCAAAAATGTTACGTTGGCTGCCAAAAGTTCACAGCTGACTCACTCCCTGAGAGAGGTTCATGGTCAAGCGCTCATTCTCTCTCTTCTGCTGCTTTATACATCCAATGACTAATGGATGTGGGGGTTCAATTGCCTGAACCCCTTGCTTTAATACAGGGACCATATTGGCATCAGAGTTTCCTGTGAGACTGGTCGAAGACTCTATTGCAAATGCATTGCAGCTCAGCTTTTCCCTCTACCTAATCCAAAAGAAGTTCAGCATATATTTCTCTGTCTCATAGCCTACTTCTCTGGGAATCTGACCTAAGAAAATTGATAGCAAGGGAGCACTGAGGAAGTGACTCCAGATAAGTTACTTTATCCATGTCCTCAGTTAGACGGGAAATGAGGACTTAATCACTGATGCTATGTAGAAAATGGATACTCTGTGGTTTTGTATTATAGCAGTGTGATTGCTAATGTTTTCACTGGTGGTAGACGGGGATGGGATACGAGTAGAAGGGAGTGAATTAGTGCATATATACTGTATCTCAGATATTTGAGAGGTTCATGGGAAGAAGTGATTCATACTGTGGAATACAGTAACTGTTGCTAGGGCCTCTTGATGCAGTATAGAAAGACAACAAAAGTTAAGAGTGATTAATTACTAATGTAAAGCTAAGTTGAAAGACAGCAGACCTCCAATGTCACCATATAAATCAATTCTTCCCTCTTGCTGCAGATTAAGAAAAAGTTGAGCACCAGGTCCAGGAACTAATCATAAGAGTTCTAAATCTCCAGAAAAAGTTGAATTCTCAGCTTGGGCAGGTTGGATTTGCCAAGACCAAGGCCTTAATTGGGAAAAATAGGACTATGAGTCATGGGATGGGACATTTGGATTAATTCACCTGAAAGTCATGGATCCCTAGATTCTCCTGAATCCTCTAAGGTTGCAAAAGTAGCTCTCTCCTTCTTCTTGGGGCTAGCACTTCATCCTTGCTTGAAGACAATAGGGAGGCTTCTTACTTGTACGAAAATCTTTGCATCCACCATGAAAATCTACCACAAACAACCTCCTGGACCACCCCAACAACTAGAGTAAAGTCATAGCATTCTCCAGCTAAGAAATGGCAGGGTCTGTTAAAGGAGGAGAGAGACTAGATGTTGAAGAAGCTGTAAGACCTCACCAATATGTATGCATAAGTAGGAATTGGGAGAGCACCTATGGACTGGATTCTGTCAGTGCCAGATCAACAGAGAGGTATACAAACTTAAACAGAGGAGAATGTATCATTATGGGACACATTCCTTCTCCAGTGATATTAAATTTAACACCTGGCAAAGACCTGTAGGAGGCATGTTAACACAAAACTAGAGTAATTCTTAAAAGGTTGAAAATTTATAGTCTGCACTAAGAAATAGCGTTGAAAACAGTAGAGAAAGGGATAATAAGTCTCAGAAAAGTAGATGTACTTGAGTGAATATACTATATAGTGCCAGAAAACCTGTCAGCTAAGAATATTCCATGGGAGTACACACCATTCACCAGTGAGATAAGTAAGGTGATTGTGAGATTCTCAGCAGCATTGTTGAGTCTCTCAGTGATACCTATCATCTATATGTCAGGGATGTTACAGAACTAGGCTCTGATAACAATGGCAATAATAGGATCCCAAAAACAATTGAGGTTAGGTAGTAGTGTTTAATCATCAGAAACAATGTGGGTGCAATTACCATAATAAGTCTCAAAATGGGAGTGGCAGCCATGGAGGCCTAACTTAGAGCTATGAAGATGGCTAATAGAATGCAGTTCCTAGAGGCAAACAGATGCACACTGCTCCACAGATATTGTTTAATTTATACAAGTGAAAGAAATAATGGATGATTAGAAGGTTGAGGACAGCCTTCCCAGTAAGACTCACCAAATCTGATCTAGGTGCTGCTGCTGCCAAATATCCAATCTGCCAGCAGCTGAGACAAAGGCTGAACACCTGATACAACAGCTTTCAAGAAGATGGAGCAGCCACTTGGTAAAGATTGATCACGTTGGATTTTTTTCTGCTCTAGAAAGAACAATGCTTTATTTTAATTGGAATCAAGACAATTTTTGATATGTTTACCTTTCCCACCCTCGTAATTTTAGACAAAGGGGTCTACTTCATCTTAGTGGAGATGCAGCATTGGACCCATGGGAGTACACACCATTTACAATTTAACCTTGTATACCCCTCTACTACTCCTATCACAACAAAGCCCAGAAGATTCCAATCTGCTTATATATATGTATGTATATATACATACACATATATTATATATACACACATATATGTGTATATATGTACATATATACGTGTACAGTAAATGTGAATATGTGCATATATACACACACGTATATACATACACATATATATGTATGTGTGTATGTACGTGTGTGTATATATATATACACACATACCCTTCTAAGGCATATTTCAAGTACCAGGTTATAAATGATACCCTAATAGGAAGAAGTCTCATAATTCAGAATGCAGTATATGCCCTAAATTCATGACTATCACATGGTATTGTGCCCTCAGTAGATACAATACATGAGTCTGGGAACCAAGGAATGGAAATAGGCATGGCCCTACTTATTACCACTCTCAGTGTTCCACTGGAGTATTTGTACCCCCCATCCCTACAACTTTGTTCTCTGTCATTATATAGGACCTAGTTACCGGAGGGGGTCGTCTTCTATCAGGAGATACAGTGGAAAAATCATATAGTTTTTAACATATGGTTGCACCTGGCCACTTTAGACTTGGCAGGAGGAATTGACTCTGACCCTGAGAAGAATGTAGGGCTGAAATTACATGATAGGGACAAGGAGAAATACATTGCACCCAGATAAGCCACTGAGGAAATGCTTCATAACCCTGCTCCAATTTGATTGTAAATGAACAAGATGGCAAGATGACCAAAGGTCCAGACACTTTAGCGACAAGAATTTGGATTACCCCATCAGATAAGCCAACTAGATCAGCAGAGGTGCTAGGCATAGGTACCGGAGCATCTAAAATGAGAGGTGCAGGAGGGAGATGATGAGCTGTGACCTTGAGACAAGCTGCAATTACAGGGACTCTGGTTAATTTCCATAACCTTTATGTAAGTTTCCCCAGGAAAAGAGACCAGCCAGATTCTCAGAGAAGCCATCCTCAGATGTTGTTAACTTGCCACATGAAGCAAGTAGATTTGAATGGCACACAGGGTGGACAAGTGGATGCCAGAGTGTGATGCCTTCAGGACCAAAGGGCTCATTCCCCTGAATCAACCTCTAGGAATGGTCCTCAACTGAAGGGAATCTTGGTTCTTGGATTGGCACATATACCAGTTCACAGTTTTTTTTCATTCTGTTTCTGAATATGCCCTAGTTTTGACTTCAGGTCATGTGACTTCAGATCTATAAAATATGAATGTATTTTCACAGTGTATTATAGGTATCAAGACAGATAATGGGAAACAAAGGATAATAAGTTATTGCTGTTTAATATTTGCTTGCTCTTTTCCAAGCACGATGCTCAGTACTTAAAAATTCATCTTCATTATGCAACAATCCTCTACAAAATGTACTATACTTATTCCTGTTGTTGAGAATAGAAAACTGTGGTCTAGCACAATTACGCACATTTCCCAACACAACAAATTCTAAAACTGGTAGTACCTACATCTGAAGACAGACCATGAAGCTCCAAAGCCTTAACCTGATATCATTATATTATACAGATAATCTGAAAAATATAGAATGTACATAATTATATCAGGGAAAACGTAATTTGAATTTAAACTGTCTGCTGATCCATTTAACTTTAGCATTGAATATACAAAATATAAACATTCTATATATTCTCCTGAAAAGGCTCTGTGTTGACATATTGTACAGAACTTAAATCATTCTTGATGGATCCTCATTATAAATTGTGTCTTCCTGACAGATTCTCCATTTCCCAGCTGTGTTTCGACTATGGAACTCCATCCTAAATGAGAGGTTTACTAGCATTTAATAGAACTCTCATTCAGTTGGTGTGAACCTTGGAATTAAGCAGTACAGAAATGCCTAGCCTTGAAAATACAAGGTTTGTGAAATAAATTTTTTTCACAAAATTCTGGTATCCTCTGTTCACCTCTTCTGTGCTACCTAATGCTTCTTTTCTCTGCCTCAAGTTCCCAGTAGACTCAGGTCTTACCTGACCCACTACAACTTTCGAGAAACAATTTGATGACAAGATAGGTTATAATAATAACTGATTTACATATTTTTCTGATATAGTTGGAAGAATTTGAGAGTAACAAAGTATTGGCATGCTGAAAGGGAGAAGGATAATGATGTTTTGATTTGTTTTCTGAGTCTTACCAAATAAGTAAAATTATTGTACATCTCTTAATACACTGATTTCCCTTTACACTATTTTCTATTCTCTAAAGCAGTGGTACCCATCCCTGGGCCAAGGACCAATACTGGTCTGTGGCCTGTTAGGAACCAGGTCGCACAACAGGAGGTGAGCAACAGGTGAGTGAGCGAAGCTGCATCTGTATTTACATGACTCACATTGCCACCTGAGCTCTGCCTCCTGACACATCAGCTGCAGCGGCATTAGAGTCTCCTAGAAGTGTGAACCCTATTATGAACTGTGATCTAAGTTGCACGCGCCTTATGAGAATCTAATGCCTGTTTATCTCCCACAGTCTCCCATCAGCCCCAGATGGAACCCTAACAAGCTCAGGCCTCCAACTGATTCTACGTTATGATGAGTTGTATAATTATTTCATTATATATTACCATGAAGTAATAATAGAAATAAAGTGTACAGTAAACGTAATGCACTTGAATCATCTTGAAATCATCCTCCATCCCCAGTCTGTAGAAAAAAATGTCTTTCATGAAACCAGTCCCTGGTGCCAAAAAGGTTGGGGGCCACTGTTCTAGATGTTCAAGCTTTACTAGTGGGGCAACTTGAATCCACTTAAACTATAAAAGTGAAAGTATAAAGAAAATATTTTAATTTTTGGAAGGGGATTTGAGGTAGGAAAGATGTTTATATTTTGTATATTCAATGCTAAAATTAAATGGATAAGCAGATAGTTTAAATTCAAATTGTTTTCCCTGATAAAATTATGTACATTCTATATTTTTCAGATTACCAATATAATGATATCACTATTGAAAAATAGAAGCAAAAACAAAAAAAATTAAAAATTTTATTATACAGCACTTCAGTGTAACTCCAATATGTCCTTTACGTACAGATACAAATAGATCAATTGAAGCTAGAGCTGCATCACCAATTTCTTGGCCAGCAGAGGGCAACACAGAAAAGCCCCTTCATTCTTGCTCTGCATTTAATCCTTCCTAATCTTTTGCTGGGTTTTTTGAAAGCTTTATAATTCTGTATTCATTTTTCACTCATAATCTCTTTTTCATAGATGACCCCACTGATAATGTGGAATAATTATCTGCATGTTTGGGATAATTCAGAGTCCTGAATAAGTAAGAGAATGGGACAAAAACAGGTAGACATTTTTTAAAGTCATTTTCCCTATTAAAACATACTCTCTTTAAGAGAGTCTTCAAGAGAGCATGTGTTAATAGGCTAAACATACCTATCTCTCTATAAGAGAGAAGGCAGGCCAGGTGCCGTGGCTCATGCCTGTATTCCCAGCACTTTGGGAGGCCGAGGCGGGCAGATCACGAGGTCAGAAGATCGAGACCATCCTGGCTAACACAGTGAAACCCCGTCTCTGCTAAAAATACAAAAAATTAGCCGGGCATGGTGGCGGGCGCCTGTAGTCCCAGCTACTCGGGAGGCTGAGACAGGAGAATGGCGGGAACCCTGGAGGCGGAGCTTGCAGTGAGCCCAGATCGCACCACTGCACTCCAGCCTGGGCGATGAGCAAGACTCTGTCTCAAAAAAAAAAAAAAAAAGAGAAGGCAAGTCTATCTAATAGAGAAGAGGCAAGTCTACCTAAGAGAAGGCAAGTCTACCTAAGATTCAGCAGAGAAACTCCTAGTTATCATGGTCTGGTTACCTTTTGGACAAGCTGACCTGCTCTCCCTTCATGAGTTTTGCCTCAAGTAAGTAAGCCTTGTCCTTTAACCTGCTTAGGAATCATGGACAGGGTCACAGGAACAAACATAAACATTGAATCGTGTTAAACTCTTCACCTAGTTTTTCCTCTGATCTCCTTATCGTGACAGTGTCAGAGACCTCCAAACTCTGAGATGCAGAACTATTGCAGTCTACCCGTCAGCACTTAGGATTAGCCCCCTTTGAAAGCAGCTGTCAGAGAGCCATGCTGGCTGCTGTCTTCAAGAAAAGTGCAATTATATATTAGTATAAATAAGTTCATACTTTCAAAAACAGGTAAATCAATGATGAGTACTGCTTTACAAAGGCATTTAGCATAATTTTCCTGAAAATAAAATGTTCGTTCCCTAGAGAATTTAACATTATGGCTAACTTGCAGATATTATTCTATTTGACTATTTGTATATCTGAGAGTAAAAAAAAGAAAACATGTTTTACGTGGCATAATAAACAAAACAGAAATGTCCTACATTTGCCAAAGAAGAAATAGATTTAGTGGCAAAATAGATAAAACATAAGGAGTTACAGTTTTAATTTAAGGCCACTGCCCTGCTGTGGTGTCTTTAGGAACTGTTTGGGCTAATATTATTCTTTTTTTTTTAATCCATGAATTTCCTACCAGGCTATTATTTCAGGCAGAAGCCAAGAAACATTGCCTAGATTTTTTTTGTCTGTTTTTTGTTTTTTGTTTTTAACAATTAAGCAGTGCTTGTTAATCAGATTTTGTTGACAGCTTTCCAGGACTGTAATTGAGGTTACATAACCTTGCCTTCATTGATAAATGCAATTGAGACACTGTGTCTAGATGAGAGATATTCCGATCACAATTTGGAGGGGAGATATCTATTTAACAAATTCAAAAATATTGAACCATATGCTGACATTAGAGAGACAGCTCAATTTCCTCTGTACTGTTTTACTCATACCAAGCATAGCATCTA